TTGGTCTATTACATGTTTCTCTCAATATTCGTGAAAGCTGCTTTTTGATTTTTTTACTCATTTTTAATGAATTGTATAAAGAAGTATTTGGGAAAAATGAAATCTGGCTGCGAAACCAAAACCTTGGTGCATTAACCTTCTACTTTATCTAACATATGTAGAATAGGATATTATAAAACCTTATATATTTGCTCAATTTGAACAATCAAAAGATCTTGGATATCACATATTTATTGATTTACTGGATAATTTTATTCCTACTACACTAAAGGTATATGCTATATTATTTTGAAGAAATAATTTTAATCAATACATTAAAATAGTATTTTGTTTATGAACAGTAATGAGAAGATTTGGACAAAAAAATTATGACAAAGTGATGCTTACCTTGATATCTGATATTTAATACTGGATTTTTATTCAACATCCTATTATCAATGCCTTTAAATCCCAGTTGCAAATCTTTAATGAATATCCAGTTGAAAATTTCTATAGCTTAGTTCGAAGACATACATCTGAAAAAGTAATAACTGGTGAATGGTTGAGACGTGATGCAATTTTCATTGATTATCATCAAAACGATAATAATTTTACACAATCATTTACATCTAATCAATCATATCTATATAAAAAAAAACTGAATTTAATGGCAAAAAATTCAGCAATATTTCTTTTACAATTTTTTGAAAATATTTGAAATAATCAAAGAAAAGTAGAAAGAAAAGTTGAAAGTACAAGAATCAAGAAAGTATATTATTACTTTCTACTACTTACTAAAAAGTTTCCTATTGAAGCATTACTAACAGGTTATCATTCCTCTTACCCATCAAATCAGAATCAGTTTTGTAATTATAATACTTGTAATAATAATATTTCGAATAATAATAGATATGTGCTTATCTGTAAACATGCATATCATCAAGAATGTTTTATGAAAATAGGGTTGAAATGCACTTATTGTTTTGAGTATTTTTCTACATCTATTGATGAATTAACAAAGTCATTTAATGAACACTTGCAAATGGATATTGAAATTGAAAATGAATTTGAAACAGTAATGGCTTCACCTTCTGAAAATGATGTTTTATTTGACCAAGCAGAAAGAATTAATGAAAATAAAGATATTGATAAAGAATTATTAGAAAAAATCTCAGGTATTAATTAATGTATTAATATAAAATAATTATGTTTTACAACTGACTCAAATTGCTTTCACTTAGCTTTTACACAAATGCAATAATAAAAAAAGGTTTATAATAATAATCTATTTTATTTTTTGATAACGTTTTGATACACGAAATTTTACATTAAATAGAAAAAAAAGAAATTATAAATAAAACAAATAAAAAATTTCTCTTCGCTATCAAAACTTAAAAAAAATTATCACGTGATTATAACGAATTTTATTGAATAATCAATGTTGATCATCATGCAAAATTTGACCAATGGGTGGATTTTAACCATATTTTGAAAACAAAAGCTGATGCATGTGTAATCTTCACGTGACTCATACTTGTCTTTTAGCTTTTTTTTTTCTGATCACTTCGAGTCCTCTGTTTAACTCACCTTCTTTTGCCTGTTATGTTATTAATGCTAAACCTTTATGCACATCTTGGTATTTGTTTCAGAAGAAATTTAGTATTTGTGAGTGCTAGCAAGTCTATTTTTTTACAGTTTCTCCTACAAGCGAAGTGTCTCTCAATTCGTTAAATGTACTGCTTGTTCAAACTATTTTGCAGAGAGAACATACTGATACTAACTGTTTCTAAACTGTGATAGCTTCTCAAAGACGCAACTCTACACACATCAAGTCTCTAGACTGTTCTTAAAAAAAACATCAACAAACTCTGACATGGGACTTCCAAAGGCTTGGTTCAAGCTCATGAATCTGGAAAGTGCCTTTGACAGAGTTTTACTAGAAGAAATTGAATATGTGTCTAATTTTAAGAAAGCAATTAAAAATAAACTACATCAGCTTGATAACTATAATATAAACTAACTTATACTCAAAGTCACAAGGATGGTTGAAGATATTAATCAAGCAAGAGAACAGGATGCAGAAAAGAACCTGATTTTCATCTTCAAGGATTGTAACATGACGGTATCAGATTATGTTACTTCAATGCAAAAGTTTTTTGCTGAAAATATCCGTTTTTTTGTGTTTGCCCTGTCTGATAAGCATATGACACATATTATTATTGATTAGTTCTTTGCCACTTGCTTGTGACGTTGATTAACTCCTATGTTTCTGTTACTTTATGGCCATGATCAGATCCCATACCTGTTGCAAAGAAAGCTCAAATAGATACAACTTTAACATTTATTCTAGCAGGAAAGATGTTAAGGTGTCAATATAATCTACCAGAGTTTTCATACAACTTCTATAATCGTTAAAAATTTATCAAAGATACTATATTTGTTGTTTTCTCGAATTACAACAACTATAGAAATCTCAATCACAAAATCTACACTCTAATGCTAGTTCCTGAAGGATCAGAGATTGGCAAATCGTATGCTAGATGGAAATTGCAATACCTGGTCACTTATGCAGACTATTTCAGATTTAAGTTTGATATTTCTCCTGCTAAAAATGATTTGTTTCGGGAAGCTCTCTAAAACTCCTGCTATTTTCATCTTGATCTCAACAATAGATATAATTACATTAAACGATTCAATAAAAATATGATACAAGTGTGCGAATAAGCGCACGTCTAGCAGTAGCTTCATGTTTGAGTGATGTGTTTATAACTAGCATGATATATAAGTATTCTGTTGAGCTCTTTAGCATACACAACGTGATAGAGAGATCCTTAAACGCTGCTTTGAAGCAAATGACTGTGCTCTTGATGTTCTTATTATCCACATTGATGAGTATTAAGTGTATATCAATAACGCTCAGAGATTAAACTGGTCATGGTATAAAGCCCGCGCGTTCTTCAAAGGTATGTTAAAAGCAATTGGCAGTATTATGCGTACCAATATTGCTATAGATTGTTATCTCAAAAAGCGATACTTTGTTATTCCGATATGTATTGGGACTTCTGCCATCAATGTACACTTTTTACCTACAGATTATCTTAAATAAACGATTGCACTCAAGCCTTTGAATTATACCTTAGTAAAAGAATTGTTTTGTGATAAATACAAATATTTGAGACAGACTACTGACTGTGAAGCAGCATATTATAAAGCATTACAGTAGTCCACTTTTAGACAGTGATATCAGCAGTTATTTAATAGAACTGTGTAATTAAATCTTGGAGTAGTTACACATCAATATTGCATTACATGAAACAGGTTTCATTTTAAAGTTCATTGATGATTTCTTATAACCTCCTGTACCTACATTCGACTTCAATTAGAGGGGCTCTTTTTATTACATGTTGCAATAATCTATAGTCTGGATTGCTAATGCATCAGGCTGCTGGAGGTCTTATAAAAATATCTGCATGATAATCTCATTAAGACTTATAAGATTAGCTATTACACAAGATTTTATGTTACCAAGTGAAAATTCTATTGGTGAAGTTGAAAAATCTGATTTTATCTATCTTTCAAGGCCTTCTAAAGCTGATAATAAGGAATTGGTTATTGTTACTATGCCCTTTATGTTATTAAAAATACTCAATAAACAGCTTCAGTATATTTTAGAGGTGCCTGTTATTCCAGACTATCTACTGCTAATTTCAAATAAAGATCACTTTTGGTTATGGCAAGATTTTGAAGTCCTTCATGGATATTACCAAAGGGCATAAATTGCAATATTAATTAACATTAAAGATGCAAAAATTCTGCCTTTGGAAACAAGCATTAGACGACTTCAAAAGAAGTTGGCAGATGTGAAGGGTGAACAAGTTTATGATATTTAGCGGGAAATCAAGAATTTAGAAAGTGATTTCACTAAGAAGAAACAAAAGAATTGGTGTTTGTCTGATGTCTTCTATGGTATAAAAGGTAATAAGACTCTTCTTCAACGTAAAGTAAAATTGAACAAAGTGAATGTTTTTATGGAAAAAGAAAAGTTTTTTGTATAAATGACAGATGTTACATCTTTGAGTATCACAGTATTGTGTGATGATAATGTTACTTGAGATCTCATAGATGATATTACTATTGCGTTATTAACAATATCAACCTAGACTATCGTTGGGCTCTTAAATCTATTTCAGGAAAGCTATTAGCAATTTTCATGCAGAATAGACATTTACTGCTTGAAACAGATGATCTTAAGGTTATCTATAATGATCTTAACAGTTAGTATAAAATAACATTATAATTAATCTCCAGATATCAAGAACAATATGATGTGATTCTTGTTTATTTTACAAATCGGTTATATTCTGAAAGCAGTGATCTTTCAAAAATGACTAAGCTACTGCTTATTAACTCTACCTGTATTGAGGAATATCTTTTGTTAACATTTGCTTACCATGGCTTAGTGCAACTAGGTAATTATAAACTTGAACAAGTGTGATTCTTTATTATAGATGAATTATGATATGTAAAACATTATAAAACAAAATGTATTGACACAGTAATTTTCTTGTTGCCTGTTAATAAAGTTGCAAAATGATGTATAAACTGATTTTGTTATTTTATAAAATTCATTTTATCCAACTTATATTGTAGCTGAAACATGTAAAAATGTCTTTGTATTAGAATGTATTGCAAATTTATCAATTTGCAAAATTGTTTTTTAATAAATGGTTTTATTCTATTCTTTCATATATTTTATTTTGTTAAAATTTACTAAAACTTAATAAAATTAATATATAGGGTTATGCAGTCTCCAGTGAAAAGAATGGCAGTAAAAGACCACATCTATTTTAAGCTACAGTTTTACCACTTTTCGGATTTAGGCATTTGTTTATATATCTAAATCAAATATTAGAACCTAAATTAAAAAAGTAAGTTAAAAAAATAAGGTTTGTTATTTGTTTTTATTTTGATTTCCTTTCTGAAACTATGCCAAGCTCTTTAAAAATACAAAAAAATTCTGTTAAGTCACTTTGGAATCAAAAAGTGTGTAATGCAAAGAAAATTTCTAATTGATTGTGCATTCCTTTGTGTATATGTGAACAATATGTTAGTTTACTAAATAAAACTGGCAAAAATTTTATTGGTCACTCTTCTGGCCATTCAAGAAAATTGGCTTCAAATCAACGCTGCCATATTAGAAAAATTCTGCAACATAATCATTTTATTACAGCAGGTGAACTTAAGGCAAAATTGGAAGAAAAAGATCCTAACTTTGATATCAGTAAATGTACGATACATCGTGAGCTCAACAATCTTGGATATATTTCTGTTCTTCTAAGAAAGATTCCTCTCTTGATCCAAAAAGTAAAGGAATTTTATTTGTCTTAGACACGTGATCATTCGTGATACAACTGGAAAAAAATTATTTTTTCTGATGAAACAATACTTTAGATATTTAGAAATATCATATGTGTATAGTCTCATAATGCAGAACTAATTGCCTTATGGTAAAGCACCCATTTAAGGTTCATGTTTGGGCAGTGATTAGTGTTAAAGAAAAATTGGTATTCATTTGTTTACTGAAAATTTGGATCATCATTTGTATCAAAAAATCTTAGATGACTATCTGTATAATAATGCGAATATGTTATACAGACGCAGCTGGGTCTTCTAACAAAATAATGACCCAAAACACATTTTACACGATATTTAAGGGAACTTGAAAAAACATCTTTCAGGACGAGTTCTTTTTTGGCCTTCATACAGCCCAGACTTGAACCCTATTGAAAATATATAGGCTATATTAAAGGGAAAGGTAGAGAAAAAGATCAAGTATTTAGTAGCAAAATAAAAATATTATCTGCAATGTATTTCTTAATACAATCCGGTAAGAATAGGACGATCTTAATGACACCATATTACTTCAGTGCATCAAGAGTATGTTAAGCTGGGTTAAAGCATGTATCAATGCAAAAGGAGGACACACCAAATATTAATTAATAATATAAAAGTTATCATTAGTATTGTTCTTA